GCCAACCCTATCTCAACCTTAATTCAAAGAGCAACGTTCAAAACAAAACAGAATTTTGAACCAGTAACTTCTTTTATTACTGTAATGCACATGCATGACGAGCTCACAATAGTACTTTCTTTGCCACGTTCACCTACATGTACTTAGCAGCGTCCGCTGCGCCCCTGTCCTTCCCTTCCTATTCTTTGCACCTACGTCTCACCTTCTGGTCACCTCACCCCAAATTCTATCTTACATCACCGACATTTCCAATTCGGATTCTCAATCTACAAAACCGCCAGTTACCTTCCCATAAGGGAACCATATCTCCTGTTTTTTGAGATCGGTTTGCTCATCCCATCGACAGCAGCACTTGTCACCTCTCAGGCTCTTACCCCTGAAAGTAGAATAACCAACCAGCTCACTCATACCACCCATACCTTGCTTCGTTTTTCATCTCCTCCTTCAAAACTTTGCTATAAGCCTCCAGTCTTGCTTCAGATGAAGCAAATCTGTTTACTCTCTCGCTAAATTCTCCATAGCAACTTCATCAAAACAGCGAGTGTCACTCTCCATCCCATCGTCAGCTACAGATAAGCCGCTCGACGTCTCACGAACCGTTTTTCTTCTTCACTTCCCACGAAAGATCGACGCACTTCAGATGATGTACCTACCAATAGACTAGATGACACATCCCACTCACAGGTGGAAGCTCTCAAGGTTAAGATTCCTCGTGACGAGTCCCTGGTCGCCTCGCATCCTCGCAGGATTTACGTACAAAAGAGCCCACAGAGTTGCAAAGTCCTGAGACTGGCGCTTTGCCGTCTGAAGAGTTTATCTTTTACGTCTGGATGGTTTTACATGAGCATCTAGATTTCGGACTATGACTGCTATCCTGCCTGTTGGACGATAGATCTTCCGTCCCTTGCTTATATAACGCATCACCCCGTCACGGACATTTTCCAAAGAGGGCTGAAGCCGGTGACTCCAGGCCCATTGTCTCATGGGAGAGGGAAATGCAAATAGTCTGCCGAGATGATCTTAATGCCCCTCACCCATGATTAGACCACATCGAGGACGAGAAGACAGAGAAGCTACCTATCTGTCGACGACTTGACGGGATTCGATTTGGACCGTAGAGGTATTGCTTACAATGTAAAGAAACTGGGCAAGGCGAAGCCAGGAACCGGCGAGCTCATTGACATTGAATGCAGGTACAGTGCAGAATGCGGAGGGGCTTGGGTATCTCTGCTTCGTTAAGCTGCAGTCTTTCAGTCGCTTCGGAGAGGGCTTCGTTATGGTGCTTCGGAGGTTTAGGTATCGGACGACCTGTGCCGTACATCAACTCCTTATGGATGGCCATGCGGAACTCAAGCTCAGGGCGATAGTCTTCCGAAACCTCGACTGACGGGTAAGGCAGAAGGCCGCGACAAGTCTTCTCCTTTCCTGAGGTTCCAAAACGAAAAGTTGGCTTTCTTGATGTCCTCCATGGCCTTTAAATGGTTCTTCTTGAAGCGTTCTCTCAGCTTCTTGCTGATGGCTGAAATGTTCACGGAGAGCAGTACTTGTTGATTGGCAAGGGTGAGGATGTGGGAATGCCACACCAACACAGGTCCGGCTAAGGCAGGCATGATGTCCAGACCTCTCGAACTGCTTGGGCACCATCGCGATAGCTCCTAGCAACAAGCTGGAAGGAGCAAACACGCAGTACCCGTCTTATCTTTCCTCACTCTCTTCATCTGATCTACATCAGATGAACTCCTCCCTTCGAAACTTTCAGTGGACACGAGTGACAATAGGCAGCACATCTTGCGAATAAACAATATCGGACGGGACTCGAAAGTGGAGCCCACGAATCCTGAGGTCTGTTGTTTCAAGTATATAAACCTCTCCTCTCCTCCCTTTCTACCTCCTTCTCTTTTCTTCTTTTCTTCAACTTTCAAGGAAAGTCAAAAACTGCCTCACTCAAACTCACCTCGACGTGACCAGTACCAAGACTTTTCTTTCTTTTTTTTTTAACACACACACACGACACACACACACACACACAAAGCCACCATGCCTGCCAACGACCAGTGGAAGTGCTGCGAGTGCTCCGGAACGGAGCGAGAGGGCGACCACTGCGACTCGGTGCTCCACGAGGAAGCGTACTCTCCGGAGCGCTACGAGGAGCTCGAGTCGCAGTGGTTGTCCTTCAACAGCGACACCGAGATGACCGAGGACGGCGACGAGATCCTCGTCTTCTGCAACCACCAGCGGTGCGAAGACTGCACCACCTGGCCGCCTCCTCCTCCTCCCCAGCGCCAGCCCCTTCCCCGGCCCCGGCAGCCCCATCCGCTGGCTCTGCCAGCTTACCTGCGCCCGGTTTGGCGTCCTCAGCCGAGGATTAGCCTCCCCAGCGGTAAGTTTCTGACCCTACTCTCACCCTCTACTTTCATTCCCAGCCATGGAGCGCCGCCTTTACCTCTATCCCATAGGCATCCCCTTCACCAACTATGCCATTTCGTCCTTGACACATGGCATCGTTGGCAAAAACGAAGTGTCCTTCACCTCCCATTCTTCCCAACATGAACCTCAATTCCAACATCACCCACTATGCCTCTTGCCACGCCATCCAACCCATACTAACTTTTCTGCGTTTCTTCAGTCTCCCACACAGTCTTCGGCGACCTCGCGGCGGCGAGAGGAGAGCTCGAGGGCTATGCCCAAGAGACCGGAGACTAGCGCTCCTCGGCTCTTGGTGCAGACACCCTCGGCTCTCCCTCGTCGTCTGCCTCTGCCGGAAAGCGCCCGGCCGACGACACCACCCCCGCCGGCCCCAGCAGCAGCAGCAACGTCTCCCCCGGCCCCGGCCCCGACCTCGCCTCCCCTCCCTCCAAAAGGAGGAAGCTGTCCGCCTCGCCTGCCCCCGACCCCGCCCCCTCTTCTCCTGCCCCTGGCGCCCCTGGCTCCCCCGGCCCAAGCTCTCCCTCTCCCGGCCCCGCTGCCCCCTCCTCCTCCTCCTCTGAGGAGGACAGCGAAGACGAAGACGACGAAGAAGAAGACGAAGAAGACGACGACGACAACGATTCCCCCGGCCCCGGCCCCAGCTCCCCGCGCCCTGGCTTTTTCGGTCTCCCCCGCCCCGTTTTTGTTGGCGCCCCCGGCTTCCCCCGCCAAGGCTTTCCTGGCTTCCCCGTCCCCGGCGCCCCCGGTCTCCCCCGCCCCAACCTCTTTTTCGGTCCTTTCGGTCCTGCGCCCTCCCCGGCCTCTGCCCCCGCGTCCTCCCCCGCGCCCTCCCCCGCGCCCTCGCCCGCCTCCGCCTCCGGTTCTGGCCAGTTGGAGGGGGTTGTAAAGCCCAAAAACAAACCACTCCTTTTGGTCAGGACTGGATGGTGGGAGGGGGTCGCTCAGCCACGCCGTCGCCGTTTTTCTTTTGGGAAGGAAAAGGTTGGGAGGTCGCGCCTTGGGTCGCACTCGGAGTGAGGTTTTTATGTTTTGGGGTGTTTTTTCGGGGTGTGTTTTGGTGTGGGTGTCCGTGTGGGTGGGTGGGTGGGTGTGGGTGGGTGGTTAGAGTTGGTGGCTAAGGAGGAGCTGAGGAGAAGGCTAAGGAGGAGGAGATGACGAGGATGGGAGTGATGAGGACGACGAGGATGATGAGGATGAGAGTAATGGAGACGATGAGGATGACAAGGATGATGAGGAAGAGAGTAATGACGAACAGGATGACGAGGAAGCTGTCGGGATGGGAAGGTGTTATTCTTTTTTGCGGAGAGGAGGCGTTGCTTGCGGGAGGAGGAGTGTCGGAGACTCGGTTTTCAAATTACCTTCATGAGTGGCGTTTGGTCTGGAGCATTATACCTTTGCTACTGTCTGTTTGGCTTTGGGTCCGGTTTAAGAAGCATTTTCGAGAGGGCGACTGGCGTTGAGTCTTTGCAGTCAGCCTGAATGAAATTTGAAAGAGACGTTCACGTTGAACGTTTGGCGCCCGACATCAATGATTCCTTCCCATCCTTTGCAGTGAAGTCCTTGTGGCGTGGTTCTTTTAACGTGATATCGGCACAAGACCCACGTTTGCGATAAAGCTGACAAAAAGACCTCATCTGACAGGACTGATAAAACGAGATGCTGCAACTGTTCTTGTATACCCAGTTGGATATTCCCAGTGGTGTGATGTTGCTCTCCTAAGCGGACCAAAGAGTCTGGAGAAGCGGAGGAGATCTGTTGTAGTTTGCAGCCAAATTGGTATAGGGTTCTTGGTTTGTTACCTCTATTAGTGAGATTCGTCTTCTGAGCCATTTCGTGCCATTATAGTTAGAGGCTGGATAAAGCATAAGGGCTGGCTCGGCCATTCGGCAACAAGAGAGCTGTGTTAACCTTTCGGGATCATCCATGCTAATGTTTGGAAATGGAAAGCTCTGGAAAATATGGAGTGTCTGCTCGCTCGTCCATTCACGACTCTGACCAGGCTCCATAGGTAGGCTCGTCAACAAGTAGGTATGGTGGCTGTGGCCATGCAAAGCTGCGCGTGGAGGCACCCGCTGTCCTGTCGATGACCGACGTTGGTGAAGCATTGAAGTGCGTCACTGCACTTTTACTTCAAGACGAGAGTAAGCATGCCAGTGATTGAGATCTGATGTGCATGCAGTATGCTGGTCGGATGGGGAGAAGTATTTGTAGCCTGCAAATCTGACATTGAGCGGCGGCGAGCTGCTTGAACTCCAACCGATTGAGCCAGTTTTTGGGACAATGTGTTTCTCGACAACTGTTTTCCTTGGAAGAATTTCACCAGCCCAATCGGCTCTTGCCAGTAAAGATTGTCGCCAAGCAAAGGATAGGCAGTCGACGTACCTCATGCGCTCCTTCCTTATAGGTCATTCCTTCCTTCCTTCCGCAGCTCTTCTGGCTTTTCCCACACCACCGGTCCCTGCCGACACCCTTCTGTACCTTCCCTAAACACCCCTTCCTTCCCTAGCCCTTCATAAGTACATTTCCCTAGACCAATATCCAACAACCAAAAACAATGACAATGAAAACGCGGCGCGCGGTTAGTGTAGTGGTTATTACTCTCGCCTCCCAAGCGAGCGACCCGGGTTCGAATCCCGGACCGCGCAATGTTGTTCTCTTTTTTTGTGGGTTTTGTTGCGCCATCTTCTTTTTGTTATATACGTAGGTAGGTAAGGTAGGTAGAGGTATGATTGAGCTCAGGACTGACTGTGCTCATGCATGTAGGTAGATGATGAGTAGTTTCTTTGCATCGGTAAAAGAAACCGGCATGTGCATGCCTTGTGTTTGCGATGCGGATGTAGATAGGTGGCTTGCGTTTTGTACTTGCATATGCAAGATAAGGCCGTTGGATGGTTGTTGACATGAAACCAGAGTCGTCTTTGAACACGTAAGTTATGGTACTCAAAGCAAGGCTATACGATGCAAGCATTTTCATTACTGGTAATGTTCTTATGGCGCAGGTTGTGCAACATCCATGTTCATTACACCCATTATGTCCTCTTGTATACATTGTATACAATACGCTCATACAGAAAGACTTAAAAGAAGTCACTCCCCTCCCCCTCCTCGTCCTCCTCATTAACAACCCTCCTTCTCTCCTTAGACGGATCACCCCTAGGCTTCATCCTCACCCCCTGCCCCTTCAAAGCCGCATACCCACTGCCATTACTTCCCTTCCCCTCATTATCTTTCTCATCATCACGCATCTCAGTCCTCCTCTTATCACCCGGACCAGGACTAAACTCCAACCAACTCTTATCCCCCCCTTCCCCCCCTTCATCATCCCCACCACTACCCTCCCTACTACCATTCTCTTCGTCACCCCGAGCTTGCCTGCTGATATTTACCTTCGACGAACCTTCTTCCTCTGCGGCTATAAGTTCCCGCATTATCACCAACCCTTCCTCTCGCTCAACCTCGTCGTTGAGACCTTTAAACAGGCCCCAGGCGGAGAAGAAGGGTGTAACGCCGCGGTAGTTACGATGTAACCAGAGCATTTCTTTACTACTCAAGTAACTCCTAGGACTCCAGGTGGGCGTTTTCGGTTCTGGCGCTGGCACTGCCGCAGTAGTTGCCAAGACAGTAGAGGTAGTTGTCGGCACAGGAGGCGTGGAAACAGCAGGTGCTGGGATAGGAGGGGCTTGAACTGCGCGTGCTGGGATGGGTGGTGTTGAAGCCGTAGCAGCCGTGGCAGCCGTGGCAGTCGAGACTGGTGGTGTCGGGAGCGTGACGATGGGCGTGGGAGGTGTGACTGTTGGTGTTCCCAGTTGCGGCACAACCTTTGTTATGGTAGGTGAACTGGTGTCGATCCTGGTGGCTACCCCGTGAGCGAACGAGGCGGTGGTGGCTATGCCTTGTTCTGGTGTGCCGTTTTGGCTTGCGGTGTTCTTTTCTGTTGATCGAGCAGAAGAGGATGAGGAAGTTGAGGTTGAGAGTTGCGGGGCGTGTTGTGGCCGACGATTGCGGGAGTAACTTAAACTATCGCTTCGTTTGGGGATTATGTGAGTTGGGACGGATTGGGAAGAGGCAATAGACGCTAATGACGACGATGTCGAGGGTTTCTGTTGGTGTTGACGTTGGCGTTGCTGTTGTTGTTCGGGTGGGGCGGTTGCTGATCGCGAGGGAGCAGACTGGGGTTGCGCGTAAGAGGGAGGAACAGGCCATATACTCTCCCTTATTCCGTAGGTGAATTTTGTCGCGCTTACTGGTTCTTGATCGGCGGTGGCATCCCTTGGGTATCCAAGTTCCGCCCTTCCGTGTTCTGGAGGAGTCAAGGGAGGGGATAAAACTCCTAGGCCGACTGCGTATCCGATTCCAAGGGCGGAAGCATCGTTGGATAGTGAGTGTTTCCTGTCCCTGCTTTCGCCTCGCTGGATGCCGTAACGGTCTTGCTGCTGTTGCTGACGAGGCGTATCCTCCCTTTCACCAAACTCCGACTCCGACATATCCACCGACGTCAACGGACTAACGCCAATAGCACCACTCATGTTGATGTTATCCTCTGACCTCTCGTTGCCATTCACCAAAGGAGTGACGCTCCCTGGAGCTCCAGGTGGTGGAGGAACAGGAAGTGGTTTCCATTTGGAGTTACTCCTTGTTAGTCCTGGTGCTTGTCCTTGCGTTTGTCCTTTGTAAGTCTCCTCGGGTTTGGTAACTGCTGCACCGCCATCTTTCTTGTCGATGGAAGAAGAAGAAGAAGAGTTGGAAGGAATTCGTAATGGAGCGGGGTGTATGCTTCCATCGGACTTGGTGTGTCTGTGTTGGTGACTTTCTCTTTCCCGTTCACGTTCACGCTCATTCTCCCTTCGTGAGCTCTCGCCATAGCCATGTGAACTTCCCAGATCTCTTAGCTGCGGTCGTTCATGCAACTCTGGACTAACTGGCCTGCTTGGTTTCCCAGTGGCGGTGGCAGGTTTGGTGATAACAGTGAGTGACTCGGGTGGGTCGTTGTATAGGTCAGACCATTGGGTAACGCGGCTGTCGATGCTGTTGGCGCGACTGGATCGGGTTTGGTGGCTGGTAGGGGCGAGGAAGTTGGCAGACAAAGAAGCGGAGTGGATGTGACCGTTGGATTCGAGACGACCACCGCCGAGGTGGATGATTTCGAGGGTTTGGTGGCCGGAGTTGGAGGAGGAGCGACCGGCCTTGGATTTTGATTCGGTTCTGCATGGGTCTTAGTGAGTGTCTGTGGAGGAGATAGGACAGAAGGTTGAAGTGAGGTAACAGATAGACACATACCGACTAGAGTTAGACCTCTTCACCCACTCCCTCACTCTCTGAGTAGACTTCCCTCCTCCAATCATCCTTGACCCAATACTTGTATCTGACTGAGGCGAAAGAGGTGAAGAAAAAGACCTGTTCAGTGATGATGGAGGCTGTTGCTGTTGTTGACTTTGACTTTCCGCACCTGCATACCGCTGATGCCTATTTTGGGAGTAGGAGGAAGTGGACGTAGAAACCGTATGAGTGTTTGACCTCTTTGGGACATGCAAGTTCTGGTTAGAGGTACTATGGTTGTAAGTGTGACCCCTCGAGCCTGATGAACCATGAGAACTGCTGGGAAAGGGAGGCAATTCCCCATTTAACGACTCCGGGATGGTCTCCATGTTGTACTTGACAAAGTACTCGGCAATGGTGTGCTGCTGGGTCGGATTCCAGGTCGTGGCTGTCGCGGCTGTCGAGGAACTTGGCAGTGTCGTCGTTGCTGTCGGCGGTACCTGTGCGGTCATTCTGCATTCCAGTACGAGGTGGTAAGCAAGGGCTGGATCAGATCACGATGATCACCGCTTCGGTCCGGTAAGCTTGAATTGTGGAGGTTGCAATGATGGCGCAATACTACCGGCGCGTTTTCCCGGTAGTCAGGTTCCTTCGTGTGTCTTGGTGATGTGCAGAAAACTGCAGGTGTGGTGAGGGAGTTCTAGGCGCAGGTCACGGATGAGGAATTGACCATGGTAATATATTGAGCAGCGCCAAGGTTCCATTCGCGTGCCTATTTCGGCCATACTGGAACTTTGGGCTCCGGATCACTTTGTAGAAGGCTGGACCACATGGATAACATGGGTCGATGTTTCGGGGCTTTCGCTTTGTTTCGAGTTCCTGCACAGAACGGGGGAAAATGCACATCAGAGAAGAGACCTTGCCCCATGGTTTGGTATCACAATAGCTTGGTGATGATTTCGGTGCCGTCAGTGCCCCTTTCGATGATGTTTGGAAACATCCTGGATTCGCTCGTATGAGTGGTTGACGTTGTTTCAAGCTTCCCCTACAACGGCCCCGTACCTGTGGGTGTCCATGTGGTTTCCGGGCGAGGAAGGGAGCCCATTGGCTGTGACAAGACGACACTAAACCCAATCAATCTCGAGGGTTCCAGCCAATCCGCGATCTCAAACGCCCAGGAGGTATATCAGCCTCCGCTAAGAACCGTTGATGAATGGTTTCTCTCGGGTCTCGGGAGTCAGAAGTGTCATAGTCGGAGATCACAGAATACGAGATAAGCAAGGTTTGACGTGATGAAGCGAAGAAAGTTGGTGTCTCACGCACCTTGTATAAAATCTATCATTCATTAAGCAGACCGCTGTCCCCAACGCCTTGATGCCTGTATAAGCTAATATCTATCCGATAAACTCCAAACCAATGCCCTTTCTCATGTCCATATGTCGTTCATGAACTCATATCATGCCTCTATAGTTCCGTAACTGCCGTGATCTGCCGAGGCTCCGGCAGCTGGTCTTCTCCTGAGCAGTGATTCGCCTTCGGCAGAAGGAGTATTTGTCGCGGAAATCTTTCGATACCGAACTACTTCCGCGCCGGTGTCGTCAATGACTTTCTCAGCCACGAGCTCATAGCCCCCAAACCGAGGCAGAACTTTAGTCCATACAACCCAGTATACGGCGCCCAGACCAAGGACTCCGGTGCCAACAAGAGGGAAAGCGTAGTATGGGTAGCCGTCGGCATTCCAGTCGTCGTTGGGTGGAATGAATGGTGTGACGGCGAGGAAGATGTTGAGGCAGAGATAGATGAAGATCACTGGCAGCCAAGTGCGCCAAGGTGAGGTCCATCCTTCGGTCTTGCTGAAGCGGAGGTAGATAAGACCACCGGCAACGAGGCCGTTGATCCATGCGCCGGGGTAGGTGTATCTGCAACATTGTCAGAAAAGCATTTGATAAAGCATAAAGGAAGAGAGCATACAAGTTGACCAAGAAGTTGTAAGCGGGCCCGGGAGGAGGCCCGACAAGCACGATGACGGTCACAATCCAGTGGAGTAGAAGCTATCAAGAGTCAGAAACGCAAGCAAGATCAACAGATGACATGAATACTCACTGATGCAGCAGGCGTCTTGAACGGCTTGGTCGACGCCCAAAACTTGCTGCCAGGCAAGATCCCTTCCTTGGCCAGTTCTTGGTTGACCCTCGAATGTGTAAAGCTCACAGCCAAGACATTGCCAATGTTGCTCAAGGCCACCAGAGCAGGCAGACTCCTGGCCGCCGCGCTCTCTCCAAACATGTTGCGGAAGAATAGCCCAGCCACGATGACCTCCGACTTGGCCAGCTCAGCCTTGGGAATGGCTGCAAAGTAAGCAACATTGGCGAGGACGTACAAAATGGTC